GGTGCTGGGAGTTGAACCGGGCCCTCTGGAAGAGCAGACAGTGCTCTTAACTGCAGAGCTATCTCTCTAATCTTGATATAATGTACTCTTAATTAATCACCAGTAGCCGGGCGTTGGTGGCGCACGCCTTTAATCCCAGCACTCGGGAGGCAGAGGCAGGCGGATCTCTGTGAGTTCGAGGCCAGCCTGTTCTACAAAGTGAGTTCCAGGACAGCCTCCAAAGCTACAGAGAAACCCTGTCTCGAAAAACCCAAAAAAAAAATTAAGCACCAGTAATAACAAAGGTTTTATTGAAAGAGATGATTTGTAGTAAAAGCATGAAGTGTGCTGGAACTTCACGAGAAGGCTGTCTCCAAGATTATATATACTACATGACCTTATATAATTTGGCCTATAAAATATGTAAATCTTAAGTCCTCTAAGATTTATTTATTACATATACAGTGTTCTGCTAGAAGAGGGCACCAGGTTGAATTGTAGATGGTTGTGAGCCGCCATGTCGTTGCTGGGAATTGAACTCAGGACCTCTGGAAGAACAGTCAGTGCTCTTTTTTTTTTTTTTTTTTTGGGTTTTTCGAGACAGGGTTTCTCTGTATTGTTTTGGAGGCTATCGGTCCAGCCCAGCCTCGAACTCACAGAGATCCCCCTGCCTCTGCCTCCCGAGTGCTGGGATTAAAGGCATGTGCCACCGCCGCCCGGCCAGTCAGTGCTCTTAACCTCTGAGCCACCTCTCAGTCCTATCCCCTTCTTTTTTAAGTGGTAGCATGCACCTAATAATAAAATTCAAACCAGGGGGTGGTGGCGGCGCACGCCTTTCATCCTAGCACTTGGGAGGCAGAGGCAGGTGGATCTCTGAGTTTCAGGACAGCCAGAACCAGAGAAACCTTGTTTTGAAAACAAAAAACAAACAAAAATAAAATTTATAGCCGGGCGTGGTGGCACACGCCTTTAATCCCAACAGAAAGGCCATAGTTAGCAAGTAAAAAGCTGGGAAACTGCTGTGAGGGTTATTGAAGATGCTTGAGGCTTAAATTTTAAATACTTAGAATCCTCTTGGAATAGCAAATACAGCTTAGGAATTGATCACAAGCTCCTTATACATTTTATGCATCTGTTATTTATGCGTTTGAAAGCTTAAATATAATCTGTGATTAGCCAAAGATACAGCACCCTATCTCAATTTCAATGCCTTGTAATCATAAATTTGGCTCTTTCCTATGTTCTGGTGATGATGTTTACCACTTTCCTTAAGTGTGTGTCCTCTCTCATGTTTTCTTATAAACAAGAGTGAAATCTTCCTTCACAGGGAGGTCCATGACTGCTAGACAGACATTTTTCTGATTCTCATTTTCACATTGCTTCTTGAGAAAATATCTGGGGAAACATTCTCTTGTGGAGCTGGTGAAAGAAAAAGATGGGTGTGTGATAGTAATGCCCTCAGTCTCCCTAGACATGCAAGAACATTGCTTCTTCTACTGATCTTAAAGGTCTTGCTAAAATGCCTTGGCTCAGAAAATTGTGCTGGAGTAATGATTTTAGAATTTTAGTTCATCTGAATCTTCATTCCACAAACAATAAAGCTGAGTTAGCACTGAGCTGGAAGATACTATATATATTTCAGTTATGGGAAGATTTATAAAAAAGTTTACTTGGGACTGGAGAAATGACACCGTGGTTAAGAGCACTAACTGTTCTTTCCAAGGGCTGAGGTTAAGTTCCCAGAACACACATGGCAGCTCACAACTGCCTGGTGATTCTAGTTTGAGGAGATCCAATGATCTCTTCTGATTTCCATTTTGTACACACACACACACACACACACACACACACACACACACACACACACACACACACACGAAGGCACACACTCATACACATAAACAAAAAAACAAACTTTTAAAAAGTTTACTGGATAGTTTTATTTCAACTTGACACAAGCTAAAGTCATCTAAGAGGAGGGAACCTCAATTAGAAAAATATTTCCATAGGATATAGGGCATTTTTTAAATTAGTGATTGATGGGCCCAGCCTATTGTGGGTAGTGCCATCCCTGGGGTAGTTCCTGGGTTCTCTGTGTAAGCAGGCTGAGCAAGCCATGTGGAGCAAGCCAGTAAGCTGCATCCCTCCCTCCATGACCTCTGCATCAGCTCCTTCCTCTAGGTTCTTGCTGTGTATGAGTTCTTGCCCTCATTGCTTTTGATGATTGTTATATGGAATTGTGAACAAAACACCCCTTTCCGGTTTTATTTTTTGGTTTTTCGAGACAGGGTTTCTCTGTATTGTTTTGGAGACTGTCCTGGAACTCGCTCTGTAGAACAGGGTGGCCTCGAACTCACAGAGATCCCCTGTCTCTGCCTCCTGAGTGCTGGGATTAAAGGCGTGCACCACCAATGCCAGGCTTACCCCTTTCTTCTTCAAGATGCTTTTGGTCATGGTGTTTCATCACCATGGTAGTAACCCTAACCAAAACACTTGAGCATAAAATATTTTCTTTTAACCTACAAATCCCATCTTTAGTATTACTGTTCATAAGAATATATTTATTTATTGATTGATTTTATGAGGAATTAAACCCTTAATACCTTGTGCATTAGGACTGAGTTTTGTTTTAAATTTGTGTGTTGTATTTGTGTATGTTTTATGGATGTGTGCACACAGTTACATGAGCACATGTGCATGTGGAGGCCAGAAGTAACTTTCTATATTGCTCACCACTTATCTGTGTGTGTGTGTTTATCAAATTGAGAAAGAATTGAACAACAAAAACAAAATTAAACTTAGGTGGCTTCTTTCCAAACTGGCTGAAGGACTTGGCTGTTAGTAGCTGTGCCTTATGTATTTCTTTTACTATTTCTATTTAAAAGGGGGCCATAGCTTAACATTTACTTTGTTGTCAGTGTCTGAAGAAGTTGGGTTGTTTCTCTTTTCATTCCTCCAGTGTGTTAGGCAAGTTTTCCTTCCTTCCTCCCTCCTCCCTCCCTCCCTCCCTCCCTCCCTCCCTCCCTCCCTCCCTCCCTCCCTCCCTCCCTCTCTCTCGCTCTTTCTTTCTTTTTTTTTCTCCCCTCCAGGAATGGATTGCTCTTAAAACGGGTATTTAAAGGTATCTAGCGTAAAAAATGACATTTTATATTATTTCTTGTTAGAAATGATTACTGTATCAGCCTTTTATAAGCATAGTGCTATACTCATTCTCCTTACTTATGATGTAGTTCAAGGTTCACTGTAGTTAACACGTAATTCATGACTTTGTAAAAAGAGTACAAAAGGTTTGAAATGTAGAGATTTTGTGTGTTTTCAGGATTGAAGTATGTGTTAATCTGTGTAGCTGTTTTTAGTTCATTTGTGTAAAAATGCATTGTACAATAATAATTGCAATCAATTTTATAACAACTTGATCACTATTAAAAGGAATCATGGGGCTAGGTGGTTGTGGCGCATGCCTTTAATCCCAGCACTTGGGATGCATAGGCAGGAGGATCTCTGTGAGTTCGAGACCAACCTGGTCTACAAGAGCTAGTTCCAGGACAGCCTCCAAAGCCATAGAGAAACCTGTCTCAAAAAAAAAAAAAAAAGAAAAAGAAAGAAAGAAAGAAAAAAGGAATCATGGACCGGTTACCAGCCATATTTTATTTACCTCCCAATCCCTCTTGCCCAGCCTTAGGCAACTGCTGATGTCCATCTGTTTCAATTCATTGTCCATATAAATGGACTTATATAATAGATGGTCTTTTGTGTCTGCCCCTTTTCACTTTCCTTTAACAGCTCTTCCCCTTTTAGTTCTATAACCATAGGCTGGAGAAATGGCTCAGTAGTTAAGAGCATGGCTTGCTCTTGCAAAGGACCCAGCTCTTATTCCCATGAACCATAGGAGGTTTTCAAATGTTTATAATGCCAGTTCCAGGATGTCCAGCACCCCACTCCTGGCACACATACATACACGAAGGCAAACACTTATAATCCACATAACTTTAAATGACTCTTAAAAACAGCCAGGTGGCGCATGCCTTTAATCCCAGCAATCTGAAAGCAGAGATATGTGGATCTCTGTGAGTTCAAGGCCAGCCTGGTCTGCAAAGTGAGTTTCAGGCAAGCCCCAAAGCTACACAGAGAAACCTCGTCACCAAAAACAAACAAACAAACAAAACAAACAAAACACACATAAAACAAAATCTTAAAAAGAAAAAAAAAGTTAAATAATCCCCAAAGCCCATAGTTCAATTTCAAAAAATAAGCTACATCCTTTCTGTAAGCCATAAAGTAGTAGTTCAAGAGCATATTTGATAGTTGACAGTTTTGCAAGAGAAGAGATTTGGGGACTTATTTAAAATGTTTTCAGAAATTGTGATTTTTAGCTATGCTGTGGCAAGTCCAGTTAAATAGGCCTGTCTTTGTGGCCCAAAATATTAGTCCATTTCAATAGACTTTTGTTTTGTTTTTGTTTTTGGTTTTTGGTTTTTACGAGACAGGGTTTCTCTGTATTGTTTCAGAGGCTATCGGTCCAGCCTGGCCTCGAACGTACAGAGATCCGCCTGCCTCTGCCTCCCGAGTGCTGGATTAAAGGCGTGCGCCACCACCGCCCGGCTGTTTTGTTTTGTTTTGAAGACAAGATTTCTCTGTGCAGCTCTGGCTGTTCTAGAACTCACTCTCTGGACCAGGCTGACCTTGAACTCACAGAGGTCCACCTGTCTGCCTCCTGAGTGCCGGGATTAAAAATGTGTACTACCATCACCTGGCCATTTCAATAGACTTTTATTATTGATATTTTTACATGTAAAAAGCTTAGGTCATTTCTGTGTTCTCTTTAGTGATTATTCAGTAAGAAATACCAACTTGTTATTAGAAATAAAAGATTCCAATCCTACCCATTACCTAGAGGCTATAGGTGTCAAATGTGTAAAGGAAATTCTGTTATGAGCTACAGTTTGTAGATATCCAAGAAGACTTAAATGCACAATACTAATGTTCTCTTTCTGTTATTTTTTAACATGTGACTTCTTCAGGATCCTTCAAAAAGCAGTACATGCAAAAGGTTAGTATCTCCCTAATGGACTTTCTTATAGTCTACAAGTCTGGCAAGAGGTTCTTTTTAAATATACATGTTTTGGGCTGGAGAGATAACTCAGCAGTAAGATACTGACGGCTTTTCTAGAGGACCTGGATTTGAGTCCCAGCACCTACCTGGTGGTTCACAACCATCTCTAACTCCAACTTAGGAGTGGGCGTGGGATCTGATGCCCTCTTCTGGCCTCTGGGCATTAGGCATGCACTTAAGACAGACAAGTCTGTAGGCAAAATGTCTATATGCATAACATTTTAAAAAGAAGAACCAAAGCACAGACTTTCTATGCAGATACAGGCAGCAGTAATTGGTTTTGGGAGAGAAGAGCATTAATTCTTTTAAAAGGAGGGTGTGAAGTGGGGAGGAGAAGGGATGGAAGCCCTGCAGCAGTGCTTCTCCACCCCTGCCTAACGCTGCGATCCTCTAGTACAGCTCATCATGTGGTGCTGTCCCCCAGCCTTCAAAGTATTCTCATTGCTAACTCACAACTGTAATTTGCTACTGTTGTGAATCATAATGTAAATATCTGTGCTTTCTGACAGTCTTAAGTGACCCCCATGAAAGGGTCAGTTGACCCCCAAAGGGGTTGCAACTGACAGTGTGAAAACCTATGCCCTCGAGAGCTGAACGGGGTAGTAGTGGAAGGATACCATCAACATATAACAAATGAATGTATGACAATTTCAAAGAATCAGTGTTGTTTTTAAAAGAATTATTATCCAAAAAAAAAAATATTGCGCCCGGCGTTGGTGGCGTACGCCTTTAATCCCAGCACTCGGGAGGCAGAGGCAGGCGGATCTTTGTGAGTTCGAGGCCAGCCTGGTCTACAAAGTGAGTTCCAGGACAGCCTCCAAAGCTACAGAGAAACCCTATCTCGAAAAACCAAAAAAAAAAAAAAAAAAAAATACTGCAAATGAAGTTTTAAAAGTATCTCAATAGAGCCGGGTGGTGGTGATGCACACCATTAATCCCAGCACTGGGGAGGTGGAGGCAGGTGGATCTCTGTGAGTTTGAGGCCAACCTGGTCTATAAAGTGAGTTCCAGGACAGACTCCAGAAGTTACACAGAAAAAAAAAAAACCCTGTCTCAAAAAACAAACACACAGCCGGGCGTTGGTGGCGCACACCTTTAATCCCAGCACTTGGGAGGCAGAGGCAGGCGGATCTCTGTGAGTTCGAGACCAGCCTGGACTACCAAGTGAGTTCCAGGACAGCCTCCAAAGCCACAGAGAAACCCTGTCTCGAAAAACCAAAAAAAAAAAAAACCCACAAATCTCAATAGAATTTGCAAAATATTTTCATTTAAATGCTTTACACAGGTACAAACATGTGGGAAAAAGCTTAGTGTCATATCATTAAAATCATAGGTCTATTTCACACCTAGTAGGTGGGCAAAAACTAGAGTTCCTACACATAAGACTTGATTATTAGGAGTTAGTTACCAAGACTCTTACTTCCTCTTCTGGGAACATTCATTTTGGGACCATTTTGGCAGTGTTAATAAATAACTTTTGACCTAGCAGTTCCATTTCTATGAGACCTGCAACAGAACATGTCACAAATCAAGAGTGTAGTATGCCTGCCTTATAATTCCAGCTACTGGAGAGGATTCTTTGACCCAGGAGTTTTGAGACCAACCTTGGCAACATAGTATGACTATCCTACAAAAGTAAGGTTCAAGGAAACAGATCCATGAATGTTTATAGCTGGGCCAGAGAGATGCTCAGTGGTAAAGAACAAGAGGACCCACGAGCTCTACAACTCCAGTGTTAGGGGCCTGGCACCTTCCGACCTTTGAGAGCTCCAGGACTCACATGGTGCACATACGCACATGCAGGCAAAGCACCTCGCTGTCTTGGCTTTTTAGCAAAGCTGCCAATTTGCCTGTCATTTCATTGGTTGGAGGTAACTTGACACTGTACTTCTCTGTACACTGTGCTACATCTGTTTAGGTAGGCAAAGGGAATAATTTTTGTTAACAATCTCAGCTGGCTTTATTGGTTTGGAACTTTTTCATACCAAGACTGGATATGTTAACTAGAGGGGCAGCCAAATTATTTGGGTCACAAAAAGCCACAGAGCTTAAGCTGAGCAGAGCTAATAAGTTCTATTAAAGAATTGTTTTAAAGAGGCTGGAAAGATGGCTCAGCAGTTAAGAGTGCTTGCTGCTCGTCTAGAAGGTCTAGGTTCACTTACCAGCACCCACATGGCAGCTCACAACCATCGGTTGTTACTCTAGTTCCAGAGAATCTGACACCTTCTGGTCTCCTCAGGCAGAAGGCACACACATGTATAGGGATTTACATACACACCAAGCACCTATTCCCATTGTGTGTGTGTGTGTACACACTAAGAATTGATTCTTTTTGCTTTTTGAGACAGGGTTTCTCTGTATTGCTTTGGAACCTGTCCTGAAACTCACTCTGTAGGCCAGGTTAACCTCAAACTCACAGAGATCTGCCTGGCTCTGCTGGAATCAAAGGCGTGTGCCGCCACCGCCTGGCTGCTAACAGTTGTTTTAAGGATGATAGTGTCTGAAACTCCTAAGGGAAGTCACCTGCAGTACTTCCTATGGCATTGCCACTTGCTTAACTTCTTTTACAACAACCTGTATGCTTTTCGTATATCCTCATTAGTGTCCAGAAAATTAAAACTAGACATTATGGGATCCACAACTCCAGTTCTAGGGAGATCTGATGTCCTCTTCTGACCTGAGTGTACCATGAACCCACATGGTGCCATACATTCATGCAGACAGAAACCTGTATAAAATAAATAATACATCTTTAAAAAAACAACAAATAAAAGTAGACATTGAGAGCTTGGCCACCCGATTCCCATTACCAGCATCTTACTTGGGTGCAAAGATTGTGTTGCTTCTAAACTTACAATAAGATAGGTAATATTAATATCTATATGGGGTTTTGCCCCTAGCACCATACACATAAAAATTAATACTGCAATATAATAATTTGTGAAAATCACAAAGGCAGATTTTAACATCTATAACCCCATAACCCAGAAATAACCAGTACGTTTTCTTAGAAACACCTAGAAAGGTTTTTATGTATATCTAGTGGAAACACCAGAGTGGCTTTGAATTTTTTTTTTAATATATGTGTGTCTCTGCATGCATTTGTATACATGAAATGTGCGGATTTCATCCTCAGGAACATTGTCTGTCTCCAAGATTTGACTTTTCACTGTCCTGAGCTCTCTAGTTCACCTACACTGGCATGTATCAGGAATCTGCCCATCTTTGTCTCCTGGCACTGAAATTTCAAGCATAACCACTGTTCCCTGAAGTTTTATTTGAGTTCTGGGGATCATACTGGTACATAGCTGGTGTTGAGCTGGCATTTACAGTGTAGCCCAGGCTAGCCTTTAAGTTGCAGCAATTCTCCTGCCTCAGCTCCAGAGTGCTGGGTTTGCAGGCATCTACCACTGTGTTCAGCTTGTGTATGTGTTTTGATAACATATTATGCATTCTCTTTGTTATGTTGTGGTGCTAGAGTTAACACTCGGGGCCTTCTGCATGGTAGATAAGCATTCTACCACTGAACTACTGTTTCTTTTTTCTTTCTTTTTTTTTTCTTTCTTTCTTTTTTTTTTTGAGACGGTGTCACTGCATGGTGGCCTTGAACTTTAAGAGATTTACTTGCTTTTGCCTCCAAAATGCTAGGGTTAAAGGCATACACGACCTCACCCTGCAAGTTAAATTCCTTTGTTTTTTTGTTTTTTTTGAGCAGGTTTCTCTGTGTAACAGCTCTGACTGTCTTGGAACTCACTCTGTAGACTAGGCCTCAAACTCACAAAGATCCACCTGCTTCTTTGTCCCAAGTGCTGGGATTAAAGGAGTGTACCACCATCACCCAGCAAATTAATTTTTTTTTAACATCCTTTCTAAAAGGAGGGCTTTAGGATCCTCCAAGATGGTTCAACAAGTAAAGAAAGACACTGGCCAAGTCTGGTCATTCAAGTTCCCACATGGTAGGAGAGAACCAACTCCCACATGTTGCCCTCTGACCTTCACATGCACGTCATGCCATGCCTGAGCACATGTGTGCACAGACACAAATAAATGTAGAGTTGAGCTTTTTGTTTTCCTTTCAAATAATGTGTGATAGAAGTTTAACTAAGAGAAAAGCAAGACTTTTCTCACGGGTTTTAAAACATAGGTACTGAAAAGCATTCTAGTATTTGGATAAAATATTCTTAACTTCATTGCTTTTTCTTCCTCCTTCTAGTTGCTGGGCATATTGGATTCTCCCCGTCGTGGGCGCTATTCTTGTAGGTTTCCTGTATCGTCACTTCTCGGCCGACAACAAGTCCTCCTGAGGAGACCATGCTGAAGTGTGGGAGCGCATGCTCCTGGGAGTGAGAAGCTGACACTTTGGAGGCTGCGCAATGCTTCCTCCTTGAACCCTGCCAGTTTCCTCCCCTGCCTGCCCCCCTGGAGCCAAGATGTCTGACTAGATATCTCTTCTCCTTCAGTAGGACCAGGGTCCTTCACCAGCCAGAGCCTGATGCCCAAAGCTCCTGCTCACATTGTGTCCTTGCCAGGGTTTCTTCTCACTGGCTTCCACCCGTTCCCTTCATTTCAGAGTTTATGTTGATGATTAGACTTCCTATGTTGTAGAGTCATGGCCTTCGGGGACAGTATATGATTTCTGATGCTCTGAATTCACATTGGGTATATTTAAGGGAACAGTACTCTAGTTTTGAATCTTTTCCTATTTTTCTTTTAAGTAAATTTATTTTTTAATTCTGATTTAATTTTGTCATTTATCATCAGGGGGTTTCATGAAGTTAAGATGTGTCTATCTTATTTAAAACACAGCTGCCAAATGATCTTATTTATGATTATTAAAAGTAAGGGGCTGCAAGATAGATTGTTGGGTAAAAGCAATTGCTGCAAAGCCTGATGTCCTGAGTTTGATCCCTGGATGCACATGTAGAAGGAGTGAACCAATTCCCAAAAGTTGCCCTCTGACCTCTACATATATGCTATGGCCCTAATGTACACACAGACACCGTGTATACACACAGGTACACACATTGAGACATAACACACAGAGGCACAAGCACATGCTAAACAAATGTAATTTTAAAAAATATACAAAAGAAATAAAAATTAAAAAAAAAAGTACTATGTGGTTTTCTCCCTCCCAGATAGTCTAGCTGATGGCTCCCTCCTGTCCCTAAGTTCAGCTCCTTTCTTCCCAAGAGTACTTTACAAACTGCATCCCTTTGGTTTCTGAGGTGTAGAAGAGCGGAAGAAGGGATCAGCGAGTTGAGGTGAATTCAGAATGATCTCTTTTAAAAAGAGAACAAAGCACCACTTACAGAACAGCAGTTTAAAGAGTGACCGTTGGCACACTCTCTGTGGTCTGACCCCAGTTTCTAACCATCTTCCACCCTCGCTGTCTGCTGGTAAAAAACTCACCATGAAGGTTGCTGAAGCCTGTGGTTGTATCTGTGTGGCTTCGTGGAAGGCTCTTGCTGCTATTTTGTTTACTGATTAACTAATTTTTAATTCCCTGTTTTACCAAAGTAAGAAACTCAAGTTTGGCTTTATCTCAGTAAAATAACTTTCATGTAAATGTCATTGTTGGGGCATGCCACTTAAGACAGGAGACCTTGCCAAGAGACTTCTGATTTCTGTTTTACTTTCATGGCTCCAACTTAGTGATTTTGCTCTACTTTTCTCTGAGGGTTATAATGATAAATCTGGAAGCTTTTCCCTTCTCCCTTGGATATGTATTTCATTGGAGAGTAGTTAACCATTTAAAATTACTGTTTCTCATTGGTCCGGGCTTTCTCCTGACCTCTTTGACTTTATTCTTTTCCCTGTGGCAGTATCTGACAGTTTCACAGTTATTTTTTACCCACTATCTATGATTTTCCTCCACATCCTTTGTTCATTAACAATCTGCTTCTGGACTGTTGTCATGCCCAGCAGGAAGCCAGTGAATTCTAGAAGGACCAGAAATGCTGGGAAGTGTCTCCTGCCTCCCTTCCAGCTTGCCAGGGGCTTGACAGGACAGGAAACTGCACATTAAACCAGTCTGCCCATGCAATCTATTTAAGAAAAAGTTCAGCCCAGGACTTCTATTCTGTGATTTAACAACTGAATGAATTCAGAATTCATCAAAATAACATTCGCCTTTTTCCTTGCATACTTGGATATGATACTTTAATTTCTAGATGATTTCTATATATCAGAGATACATACTTAATCACTTTTATCTTTAGAAATTTTGTAATATGGTAGATTGAAAGAAAGTGGCATGATTGAGTACATCTCCACTTAAAGGCAAGGAAGGTCTGTGCAGTGAGGCTTGGGGTCCACTTGCCTGATAGCCAAGCTACATGCAATATGTTGGGTAGATGGGAAGAACAAAGGCACGCTGAAGCTCAGGAAGGGACATTCATGCTGACACTAGGCCTGAAGATAATTTGCAACCTCTTTACAGCCAGTGAAAAGCATCTGGCTATAGGAAATGTTAAGAACTGTTTTTGGCTCAGTGGTAGTGGCACACACATTTAATCCCAGCACTTGGGAGACAGAGGCAGGAGGATCTCTGAGTTTGAAGCCAGTGTGGTCTACAGAGGGAATTCTAGGACAGCCAGAGCTATATAGAGAGACCTTGTCTCAAAAACACCCCCCATGCACACAAAAAAACTTATTTTTTAAGTAAAATCGGTGTTTTGATATTTTTATGGTAAACATCAATTCGAAAATGGTGTTTTTCTATTTCACATCAATGTTCTTTTCCTGCTTTTATCTGAGCTTGTTTCTTTTACTGAGAGCCAGAAGGAAAAGATTGTCATACTTTGTCTTTGCCATTTATGTAATCCACCTAATACCCAGGGCTTCTTTTGAACTACTGATAATATATATCATTTTATATTATAAAAAAACATGCAGCTTTTTGGGGGGGTGGCTAGGCATGGTGGCACATGACTTTATTCCTAGCACTTGCGAAGCGGAGGCAGACAGTTCTTGAATTCTAGGCCAGCCTGGTCTACATAGCAAGCTCCAGGCCAGCCAAAGCCACATAGTGAGACTCTTGTCTCAAATCCCCCAAACCCCTTTTATGTCTGTTTGCTGTAATTCTGTTGCCTATAGCAACAGCTAGGGGGAGAGGTATGTCTTAGGTGAAAGTTTGTTGAGGCTTTTCCTGAACAAAGCAATACAGCATGTGCACCAGATGCATTAAAAAAGACAGAACTTGTCAAAGAAGCATTGACATTTGTGGGTTATGCTAACTTATTGAGAGCAAGAGGAGCCAGCCCCTGTTGGCTGACAGTACTCCCAACCTGTGAGGTGTTTGGTTGTTTATTCATGAAGTGGCCAGCTGCCACCACACCATACAAGTTAACCGATGGTGAACACAAAAAGGAATTTGTGCTACCAAGGCACAGGGTGTTAATCTCTAAAAGTTCTTATCTGGTCCTGGGAGCTGGTTTTCCCTTCCAAGTGACTGCGTGTTTGTAAAGCACTCAGTGGGACAAAGTTTGTGGACTGTTTACAACTCCTTGTGTGATTACTTGAGCAGACAAGTCTGTCCAAAGCTACCATCTGAACTGGTAGGTAGGCTCTTTGAACAGTTGCCACCGGGGCTTATGATGTGGGGTTTGTGCTCATTCAGTGCTGGGAGCAGTGAGAAGTGCTTTTACAAGCCAGATGTGTCATCACATGTGGCATCCATACTTCATCTCAGGTGTACCCAGCTGGCTGACGTCCACCTGAGGTGACTGAAGCACGGAACATGAATGTTCTTTGCCTCCGACCCAAGGGAAATGGATTCAAACATGTCATGTCTCAACAAGAAATTGGAGTTTTGAAGCTGTGTGATTCAGTTGCCAAATATCTCAAAGTAACGGAGAGCTCCATCATATTTGGCCAGCTTTGCGATTTACGGGGGCAGCCCAGGAGGGGGTTTCTGAAGAAGCAGAGATGTGCCAGTCACCTGCCTTATGCCCAGTGTCTTAATCATGAATTTCAGTGGCCACTCCTTGCCCCCGCCTACGTCGCCTACACTGGCTGCTCAGGCAGAACATCAGCTCAGTTATTTAACTTGCTTTCTACTGCAGCCTCAACTGGGAGTGACTAATATTAACATTCCTTTGTGTATTCAGTGATGGAGTTTGTTTACCTATTTGATTTCAGCTTATTTTGAACAAAGATCTTTGTCTCTTTCTACTGGAATGTGCACACAGTGAATGTTTGTTAGAACTACACAATAAAGATACTGTTTTCCTTTTCTTGTCCTGACTACAGTTGCTTTTAAAAAAAAACAACTTTTTTTTAAAAGAAATATTGGTGCTGTACTTCTCAGGTATTCCAAATGAGAACAGTTGAGGTGCACACAATTCTTCTGTGTATCTCTGCCAGCATTTGTTTAACCTAAGTGCACTGTGGCTCTTCAGGGTTCTTTGTTGGAAGTGAACCTCTCATTTGAGAGTTGCAAGATACAGCTATCCTGGTTCTGCCATGTTAAGGGATATGAAGTAGGAACCAGAAAGCAATTTGGAGTTCTATTTCTACTGGTAAAGAAAAGCCAACATGCGGTAATGTTTTATTATCTGCAGTGCTGGGCCTCAAATGATTGCTTTTCTTGGAACTAGCTAAACTGCTGAGGAAATTTAAACAAAGGTTGAGGTTCTAGTGATTATATGAAGCAAGGGAAATAAACCATTTTTATAATTACCTCTATCACATACTGATAGCCTTCTAACATGACCAACATTAGGTCAGAGTAGATCACTCATTAGGACCTGGTGATTCCACTACCACTGCAATTGGGGATTAGTGACAGGAAGGCATAGCCCCATTCTTAATGCCAGCATTTGAACCTAATGCTTAATCTCTGATACTAATAAGAATTCATTATCAGGGCACTCTTCCTGCTGTTTGGTAGTTTTGTGACAAATCTTTCTTGACTCATGATAATCTGACAAGGCTGTGATTCCATTTACACAAATTTAAGGTTGGAAAACCATACATAATTTTTTTGTTTTGTTTTTACGAGACAGGGTTTCTCTGTATTGTTTTGGAGGCTGTCGGTTCAGCCTGGCCTCGAACTCACAGAGATTCGCCTGCCTCTGCCTCCCGAGTGCTGGGATTAAAGGCGTGCGCCACCAACGCCCGGCAATAAATAAGATTTAAAAACCCTTTGTGAGAATTAAGCATTACCAGTTAGGGAAGCCAAGAAGGGCTGTGTCATATACCTAAAAGTCATAGCACTCAGGAGACTGGGGAATCACAAGTTCAAGGCCAGTCTGGGCTAAATAGTGAGACCCTGTTTCAAAGAAAAGAAAAAAAAAGCCTTAAGTCTGCTCATATATAGCCCAGGCTGGCCTCAAACTCCCTAGGTAGCAGAAGATAGCCCAAGTGCACCACAACACCCAATTTATGTGATACTAAGGACTGAACCCAGGGCTTCATTCATGCTAGCCAACTGATTTGTGTCCCCAACCATTAATGAAAGTTTTAAAAAGGTGACTATACCCATGGCTCCATTGGTAAAGGCACCTGTCTCCGAGTATGATACTTGGAATCCACATGGTAGAAGGAAGGAATCCCTCAAGTTGTCCTCTGAAAGCCGAGCATTGGTGGTGCATGCCTTTAATCCCAGCACTCGGGAGGCAGAGGCAGGTGGATCTCTTGTGAGTTCGAGGCTAGCCTGGTCTAGAGTTCCAGGACAGACTCCAAAACAATACAGAGAAACCCTGTCTCGAAAAACCAAAAAAAAAGAAGAAGTTGTCCTCTGATCTCCACATGTATGCTGGGACATGCACATGCCCCCCAACACATACATGCAATAAAAGTAAATATGCTTATATAACTGCCTGCTTTGTTTATGCATGTTCTTTCTGGACTGTTTTTATTTAATTTCATTTTTTATGTTTAGTTGTACTAAGGGTTGAACGCAGGGCCCCATGCATGTTGGGCAAGAAAAATGTTTTTCTGTAAGATTTCTTTGTATTACTTTTGATTATGTGGATGTGTGGGGTTTTATGCAGGTGAGGGCATGTGCTAGAAGAGGTCAGATCCCCAAGGAGTGTGAGCTGATCAACCTGAGGACTAAGAACTGAACTCGGCAAGAGCAGGACATGCTCTTAATTGCTGAGTCCCAAGAAAACTAATGTTTACCCAGCACATTCTTCATCTGTGAGCAGCTTCAGCATTCTCTGTGACCCAGCATGCTTTACCCCAGACAAATGTTAACAAAAAAGCTGTAGAACCTTCCTTGAAGCTTTGCAGTCCCTTTACAATTTTATTTAAAGCCCAGTCATGGTGGCACCCAGATTTAATCCTAGCACTTGGGAGGCAGAGACAGATCTTTGAGTTCAAGGCCAGCCTGGTGTACAGACCAGTATCTAGGACAGCCAGGGCTACACAGAGAAACCCTGTCTCAAAAATAAATAAGCAAATAAAATAAAATTTTATTTATTTTTTTTGAGATTTATCTTATGTATTTGACTGCTGGGGGACAATTAGAACAAAACAGAAGCTGAGAATGTGCCCTCTGCTGGCAGGATGGGGAAGAGCATACCTGTTGAAAGTATACAGCCTTGACCTGACCTTGTGGAGCTTCCAAATGACATTTACTTAACTGTAAAGAGGATCCTGAATGTTCTTAAGAAGTAGTTGTGTTGGCCCACACTGGTAGGATTTGCTGAAGGAGGCAGAGGCAGGAGGACCACAAGCTTGAGGCCAGCCTAGGCTACACATTTTAGCTGGGTGGTGGTGGCGCATTCTTTTAATCCCAGCCCTCAGGAGCAGAGGTAGGTGGATCTTGGTGAGTTTAAAGCCATCTTGGTCTACAAGGACAGCCAGAGCTACACAGAGAGACCCTATCTTGAAAAACCAAGCCAAACCAAACCAAACAAAACAAAAACATAACAAAAAGCAGTTGACTTGTTTTATGTGTATGCGTGTTTTTACATGCACATGTATTTGTGTGTACCATGTGCATGCTCAGTGCCCGTGAAGGTCAGAAGAGGGCGTTGATCCCCCAGAGCTGGAGTTACAGACACTTGTGAGCCACCATGTGGTGCTGGGACTTGAATCCTGGGTCCTCTGCAAAAGCAGTCAGTGTTCTTAACTGCTGAACGATCTCTCCAACCCCTGTGTGTGTGTGCGTGTCTTGAAATCATGAAATATTCCACTGTCTTCACAAAAGCTTGCCTCAAACTGCAAAGTGGAGATGGAATGGAGCTATGAATAAAAGGGGCATTCCCAGATGACATAGGAATGAAGATCACACAGCTTAGGTCACTCATGGGGAAAAGTTCAGTCCTAACACACATGCCAAATCAAACATCCAGGGACTATCAAGTGGCAAATATCATAACAGTCAGTACAAGGAAGACCAGCACACAGCATTACATACATGTTTTTGTCATTAAAATATATTTATTATTTATTTTTATGCACAGGTGTTGGCCACAGTGCATTCCTGGTGCCAGAGGAGGCCAGAGGAGGGCATTGGATCCCCTAGGACTACAGTTACAGACAGTTGTGAGCTGTCGTGGGGTGCTGGGAACTGAACCTGGGTCCTCTGGAAAAGCAAGCTGTGCTCTTTTTTTTTTTTTCTTTTGTATGCAGTGCTCTTAACCACTGAGCCTTCTCTCCAGGTGTTTTATTTTTTACTTTGGTACAAACAATGGACTCATTTAAATAAAGCATGTTATTGATATATTTTCTTATAATGGTAATATTACATAACAGAGAGTTGTATGTGCTGATAGCACCTTATAAATGTGGTACAATTAAAATATTAAAAACATTTATGACTGGGCCTGGGAAGATGACTTAATCAGTAAGGACTCTGTTGTGTCCCCAGCTCCTTAGAGTTTTTTAAACCAAATGTAATATTATTGACACAAAGGCACAGTGATAGCTACTCTTGCTGTCAAGTCGACTACTCTGGGATTAACTAAAACTCTGGGCACACCTGTGAGGGATTTTTCTGAATTAAATCATTTGAAGTAGGAAGTCCCACCTTAAAACTGAACCTTTTGAGGTGGGGAGATCCACCTTTAACGGGAACCACACCTCCTGCTGGTGGCCTAAATAGACATGGAAGAAGGAAGTTTTCGATTTTTGGCTGCGTGCTTTGCTCTGGCTGGCAAGCCCATTCCATCACTGGCATTAGAGACCACTTATTCAGGATTCTGGTGTGTACTGAAGACCAGCTGAGACATCCAGACTCGTGGACTTAACAAATATTACAATCTTGGACTTAACAATCATTGTTGTACCAGCTGGACCATAGCCTGTCAGCCATTCTAATAAAATCCCCTTTCTACACACACACACACACACACACACACACACACACATATGTTCGTTATGTTGGTTCTGTTCTTCTAAAGAACCCTGACTAATACATGCACATACGTGTGGAAAATATTACATATGAATATAACACAGTCATTCACCATTAAAAACTATCTGCTGTTTATACTGTCACTCACAGATGTGCGAGTTTTGCCATTTAACACAAAAATATCACTGTTGTGTTGCCATGATTTTGATTACTGTTTACCGACGATGGCATCCTTATCAATTCACATTTGCAGTGACGGATTCTTCCAGTTGGTGTTCTTTCAGTGCTTGCTTATCTATCCATTTGTTTATTTATTATTTTCATTGTTTGGTGTTTTGAGACAGGGTTTCTCTGTGTACCCTGTCTGCCCTGGAGCTTAGACCACACTGGCCTCAAATGCAAAGATCTGTCTGCTGCCTCTGCCTCCCAAGTGCCACTCCTGGCATCATTCAGTATTTTAATAAGATTATGACTCCTACGTTGAAAAATTTAATAATTTCCTGTTACCTCATGAGAAGAAATATTAATGGTGCTAGAAAGATGGCTCAGCAGTTAAGAATATTTGCTGCTCTTACAGGAGTCCTAAGTTCAGTTCCCAGTACCAACATGACAGCACACAACCATCTGTAACTCCAGTTCCCAGGAATCTGACGCCCCCTTGTGACCTCTAAAGGCAGTATGTAAAGGCATACATGCAAGCAAACATCTACACACATAAAATAAGTCTTTTAAAGAATAAATACAAACACAGACATATATGACTCCTCATAACTTTTAAAAAGAAAATGTTGGACTTTTTTTTTAACATGAGAGAAAATTCCAGAACATATTGAGGTTAATGAAAAGAACCTGGAATCTTTTGGGGAGCCCATGATCATGATTGGTGTACCTTATAGCATTTAAATGACATGCCTCATGTGTGCAGCA